CCGCCACCGCATCTGCTTCAGGGATGCTGGGACTGTCCCACTCCCTTTCTCCATCCTTTGGGTGCCTGGACATGGAAAGCCTTGTCAAGAGGTCCAGCTCCCTGCCCAAGTACAAAACTCAGGGCTCACCAAGCTCATTGAGGGCGAGCAGGAGGCTGAAGGGCACTTGGAGGGCTGCCCGCCTTGTGGGTCCCTCGGTGGCTGAAGAGAGTTGCACAGGAAGGCCTTGACAATTGTCACAGATAAAGGAGTGCAGATATGTGACAGGTTCAGCCACTGGCCCCAACTGGGACAGAAGTAGGATTTCTTTTTTTTTTTTTTGAGACAGAGTCTCACTCTGTTGCCCAGGCTGGAGTGCAGTGGCCGCGATCTCAGCTCACTGCAACTTCTGCCTCCCAGGTTCAAGCAGTTCTCTGCCTCAGCCTCCCGAGTAGCTGGGATTATAGGTGCCCACAACTACGCCTGGCTAATTTTTGTATTTTTAGTAGAGATGGGGTTTCACCATCTTGGTCAGGCTGGTATTGAATTCCTGACCTCGTGATCCACCCGCCTCGGCCTCCCAAAGTGCTGGGATTACAGGTGTGAGCCACTGCACCTGGCCTGACACAAGTAGGATTTCTCACGCCTGTGGGTGCACTGCTACTGGAGGAGTCTTGAGCCCATGTGGAAGAACTTCCCACTCCCAGGCACAGAAAGGGCCTCCCTCTGGAGTGAAGCATCTGGTGGTACCACAGGCCTGGCCACCACACAAAGGCCTCGTCCCTGCAGGGCTGGCATGGGTTGACTGGCAGCCCTGGAGTGGAGTTTGAAGCACCAAAGGCCTTACCACTTGGCAGGCATAGGTGTGGGGGACTTGTCTGGAGGGGACTGGCTATGGGGTCTGTGACAGTCTGTAGGCTTTCTTCTTTTTTTTTTTTTTTTTTTTAATTGGGGTCCCGCTCTGTCACCAGGCTGGAGCACAGTGGCCGGATCTCAGCTCACTGCAAGCTCCGCCTCCCGGGTTTACGCCATTCTCCTGCCTCAGCCTCCCGAGTAGCTGGGACTACAGGCGCTCGCCACCTCTTCCGGCTAGTTTTTTGTATTTTTAGTAGAGACGGGGTTTCACCGTGTTAGCCAGGATGGTCTCGATCTCCTGACCTTGTGATCCGCCCATCTCAGCCTCCCAAAGTGCCGGTATTATAGGCTTGAGTCACCACGCACGGCCGGCTTTCTTCACTTCTACACAAGCCTGTTGTCTAAGTGACCCTGCAGGGTTCTTGCAGGGGCAGCACCAGAGAAGCATCTTGTGACAATGGTCACACAGGAGCGATTTCAGGAACAAGACTCTGAATCAGGCAAGGACCTGGAGAGGAAGCTCCAGTGGGGCACCCACCCAAGGGGTCCAACTTTACCAATCCCACAGGTCCCTGGGCTAGGGCTTATTCTATGCCTGCAGGCCTGGGACCCTGCACCCTGGAGAGTTGTCCTGCTACTGGCCATCCCTCCACAGAGGTCCCCCTCTTGGCTCTATGCTGTCCTCAGCAAAGGGCCTCTACTCCATTTCAGGCCTCTTCTGAGGGCCCAGGCAGCTTACTGCGAAGCAGCCTCAGGGGATGGAGGCTTCAGCAGGGCATCTTGGCTCCCCAACACAGAATCCTGGTTGTAGGATCTGGAAGAACAGAGGAGAAATGGAAGTTGGCAGTTCCCAGGAGGGGAGAAGGTGTTGGTGAGCCATGAAAGCAAACCCCAGTGGCTGAAGCATCCTAGAATACTTGGCCAGATTTCCTTAAGAGTGTGTGTGTGATGGAGTCCCATTCTGTCACCCAGGCTGGAGTGAAGTGGTGCAATCTTGGCTCACTGCAACCTCCACCTCCTAGGTTCAAGTGATTCTCTTGCCTCAGCCTCCCAAGTAGCTGAGACTACAAGCGCCCGCCACCACGCCCAGCTAATTTGTATTTTTAGTAGAGATGGGGTTTCACCGTGTTAGCCAGGATGGTCTCGATCTCCTGACCTCGTGATCCACTGCGCCCGGCCCTCTTCTGTCTCTTATAAGGACACTTGCCATTGGATTTAGGATCTACCCCACTAATCCAGGATGCTCTCGTCTTGGGATCCTTGACTAATTTACATCTGCAAAGATTTTTTTCCAATAGGTCACATTCACTGGGTCTGGGTATTAGGGCATGAACTTATCTTTTTGGGGGCTGCCGTTCAATCCATTATAGGTGGGCATCCCACGGAAGCAGACAGTGGCTGGGCCAAAGTAGCCCATGAAGGATCAACCATGGGCACAAGATCAGGTTTGGGATATGGTAGGGCCAGGCTTGGCTCTGCCAGGCAACTGGGTGGACTGAATCCAGCGCACTCCAAACGAGTTGATAATCAGGTTGGTGACTTCAACAGACAACCAAAGTGCCAGTAAGGGCATTAAGGAGCCATCATGGCCAGGCGCGGTGGCTCACACCTGTAATCCCAGCACTTTGGGAGGCCGAGGCGGGAGAATCACGAGGTCTGGAGATCGAGACCATCCTGGCTAACACAGTGAAACCCCGTCTCTACTAAAAATACAAAAAAATTAGCCGGGCGTGGTGGCGGGCGCCTGCAGTCCCAGCTACTCAAGACGCTGAGGCAGGAGAATGGCGTGACCCCGGGAGGCAGAGCTTGCAGTGAGCCAAGATTGGGTCACTGCACTCCAGCCTGAGTGACAGAGCAAGACTCGGTCTCCAAAAAAAAAGGAGCCATCACAAGGACATAAGATCAGCTGACAGTAGGACTGTGGCTGGTAGGGTGGACAGGCAAAGTGACTGCCTGGAGAGTGGGCAGGTGGCCCAGCAGGGCCCAGAGGGTGCCTTCCTAGAAGTGAGGACTCCAGTCTGGGGCCACTCAGGATGGACACAATGTACCAGAAGTGAGGTGGATCTCTGCAGAGTCCCTGGGGTCCTCATCCAGTCTGAAGAACATAGCACCAGCAGCCCTAGACCTATGAGGTCATATTCTGCATCTTACCCTAGCACCTTGGGGACCTGGGGAGGCAGGACCACCCTGGGCCTGGCAGGCGGGTGCATGAGTCTTGGCTCTGTAGTATTCACCACCCCACACCTGAGGGCACCTGCCCTCTGCAGCATGGTGGGTCATTCTCATGAGGTCTATAAAGATGTCCATTATTAAGTGACCATGGTGGCCAGGCCACAGAGTTCACATTGACCTTGCCTGAGATTGCATTCTCCTTTCCACACTGAAGGGGAAAACAGGTTCAGAGGGGTGGGCTGAAACTATCCTGATGAGTGCTGCCTGTTTGCTCCCACCCTCCCTACAACCAGCACTCCCCCATGCCCCTCACTCAAGACCAGGGAGGAGCCCACCTAGCCCCTCCTGCAACCACGCAGACCCCAGTGAGAGCCCCGAGGCTGCTACTCTGCACAGGATGGAGGGCAGGGGTAAAGGCCATTGGGTGGTGGCAGTTGGCTGTGCCCCTCACCAGAGACTGACCCCCTGACCAGGCCAGCTTCAGGGCATGTGTCCTTTCCTGAGCTGTAACTGACCATAGTCCAAGGGGCCCACTGTAGGGAGTCCTCAGCAGCCAGACAGAAATGCCCCTGGATTGGGGTAAGAAGAGCCTTTATAGGCAGGCAGTGAAGAAACACAGCTGCTGGGCATCTGCTATGTGCATGCCTCAGAGGTGGGAGTAGAGGGCAGGCATAGCCCTGGGACCTGGGTCAAGTGGCTGGGCCCTTGGGATCCCGAGTTGGAGGGATACCCCCTTGGAGGCAGAGGTGGGCCTCAGAGGGCGGCCCCAGGTGGTCCTGGAGTCTGGCCTCGTGAAGGCCACGTCTATGCGTGCTGCGGGCAGACATACAGTCAACAGTGGTCGCTACCTCTGGAAACCCAGTTCTGCTCATGAGACTAGGTCTAACAAGCTGGGACAGGCAGAGGGATATGAAGGAGTCATGGGCAGGCATACTGTCCACACTGGCTGCCAGGGTGGCCAAGTGAATAGAGTGAGCTGGGGCACTCACTACCGTGCCAACCCCACGCACGGATGAGGACCCCGGCTCGAAGACCCACGTCCTCAATCCCACGCAATAGCTCAGCCCTCTGAGAGGGTTCGCTGTCTGCCCAGCCAGGGCTGAGCTGTTCAGAGGGCCTACCTGTTCAGAGGCAGCTGGGGGAAGGGACAGAAGTGAAGGGGGCAGCGGATTGTTTGCTGGCGGGAATAATCTCCTTCACCTCATGGCTTAACCTTCCATCCCTCCTTTCAGTCTTTGGCTCAAAACCTATGTTTCTGGCCCTCGGAGAGGTCGGCCCGTTCAAGAGGCACCCCTGAGAGCCAGGTCTGCAGACACGAGGGCTTCGTGACGTGAGCCCTGAGGGCAGGGAGCTGCAAGCCCTCGCGCGGGCTCCCCGGCCGTGGAGGACGCAAGGACAAACACGAAAGGCCCCCGACCTGCCGACCCCCTCCTCCCGGACACTGCGCGTAGCCTGTAGGCTACCTCCGTGCTCCACCCCGAGCGGGTAGCGCTGCTCCAGCCGCCGCAACCCCGGGCCCTCGTGCCGGCGGTCTCCCCTCTTTCGCGGGCGCGATTACTGCATAGCAGACGTGAAGGGCGCGGAGGTTGTGGGGGAACCCGGCGTGGTATGACAGGAAGGGTCCCCCTGGGAAAAAGGCCCAGCCAGAGGCTTGGGACCCAGGACTCGAGAGCGCGGTGCTCCTAGGTCGGGAGGTGGGGGAGGGGCTGCGTGTGGGCAGGCGCATGCGCGCGGCAACCCGGACCTGTGGAGTGGCGGTGACCGCTGGGCCCCACTCCGCCAACCCAGGACCGCAGAACGCGCGTGCCTGTGAGGCGGCTGTCGCCGCGGAGAGGAGCCAGAGGGAACTGAACTGGCTACTCCCGCGACAGGTGGGATTTAAGGTCAGCAGCTGAACAAAGAAGCGAGCGCGGGCCGGACTTTTTTACTTATTAGACATGGCGGCGTTGGCCTCATGGAAATCTCTGCCCTTCTGTAGGCGCCCACAAGACAGGGCAAGTACGGGGTAGCCAACATCCGCCAGACCCGCTTCTAGGGCCGCTTTTGCAACTGCGCATGCGCTTGGGCTGCGCCCATTCCCTCTTGTCCAAAAGGTTCCTCTACATCCTTCCCCCGGATTGGTCCTTAGGGACATGATGGCCTTTTACGCAAGCGTCGCCCCTGCTGACCCGGAAGTTTTCTTCCCAGTTAAAAGCGTTGGCCCGCGGCGGCCGGCCTTTTCCTGTCTGTGCCAGGGCGGCGCGTGGTCTTCCGTGAGCGACAGAGACGCTCAGGCTGTGTTCTCAGGTGAGACCGCCGCGGGGCCGGGGATCCTAGGGACGGTTCATGGTTTTTCCGGGATAGTACCCGGCGACCTAGGCCTTTCTTATTAGGTCTTACTTCTGTCTCTGGAAAAAAAAATGTAGAAGAAACGGGCGCGGTACCAGTTACTCTTGACTTCTTCCTGGTGCTTCGCCGCTTCTAGCTTTTCCCCATAGCGGGGCTTGGGGATTTTGGTTTGGACTATGCAGTTGTACTCTGAGAGGAAATTTCTATTTCTTAGGCACACAGCGCACTCTTCTGCTCTGTGTAACTTTCCCTCCTTAATAGCAGCCCCTAGAACCTTCATACTGTCGGTCAAGAATCGAAACCTTTGGGTTGATTGTGCCACGCAGTACCTACCGTGGTCCTTGATGTCATATAGCGGTCCCACCTCACGGCCAAGGAAACAGTCCGAGGCAGAATGTTAACTTGGGTCAAAGACCATGTGAATGGCGAGGTTGTGGTTTGAATTACAGCCGATGCAATGTAAGGACATTTGGCATCTGCTGAGCCGTTGTACCTTGGTCCCAATGCAGCAGCTGTTGACTGGTGGGCTGCCAAGTCTTGAGCCCAGGGGTTCTAGGTGAAAGACAGATGCTTCTTGCTGAGAGCTGAGTAATTTTTCTAGTGCTTGAAAACACGTTCACAGCCTGTCTTGGTCCTTTGCGACTCCCCAGTTCATCAGCTCTGGGGCTAGCCTCAGAGTTGGGGATGGGTGCACCTCTGCTCCATGCTCCTGGGCTCTGACGTTTTTTTCCTGTCATCACCCTGTCCCAGGATGACCGAGTGGGAGACAGCGGCACCAGCTGTGGCAGAGACCCCGGACATCAAGCTCTTTGGGAAGTGGAGCACCGATGATGTGCAGATCAATGACATTTCTCTACAGGTGAGGGGAACTTGTGATTGGCCTTCCCGGCTGGGGGCGGAGATTATTCCAGGAAGGAACACATCAAACTTGTTGATGTGCCACTAAGTCAAGAATAGAGGTCATAACAGGTAAAGAAGGGATTCCTTGACCACCACATCTACCACATCCGCTCTTACGTCCTGTTCAGAGATGACTACAACTTTTGTCACGAGAGGACTCCTTCACCAGAAGGAGCATCACATCTCACATATGGTATTTTTGTTACTGTTTTTGTAGTAAAATACATAATATCCAGTGTCATTCTTCTGCATGTGAATATCCGGTTATCCAATACCATCTCTTAAAGAGATTTTTTTTCCCCCAATTGAATGGCCTTGGCCACTTGTCAAAAATCAGCTGGCCGTAGATGTATGGGTTTCATTATGGACTCTCAGTTGTATTCCATTGGTCTATATGTCTGTCCTTACGCCAGTACCACACTTTCTTGCTTTGTATTAAGTTTTGCAGTTGGGAAGTGTGAGTTGTCCTACTTTGTTCCTACTCCATACGGTTTTACACATACCCTTTTTCTCCCCTCCCCACCAAGGCATCATTAAGAATTTGGTGGGCCTTAGGAACTTTCACTTTTGTGAGCCCTTCCTCCATTAAAAGAAAATATTTGAAATTAAATTTTGTGACTACGGCCGGGCGCGGTGGCTCAAGCCTGTAATCCCAGCACTTTGGGAGGCCGAGACGGGCGGATCACAAGGTCAGGAGATTGAGACCATCCTGGCTAACACGGTGAAACCCCGTCTCTACT